TTTCCAAAACTCTCTTGACAACGCATAACACACCATGTATGGAACATTCCATTTCGTCACAGTAATAATCGTTTGGTCTGCGTAAAATAATAGAGCTCACCGTGCGTGCCTTTGGCCTTAAAATAAAAAAGAAACAATATTTAAATATTAAATCTTACAGGACCGTGAAAAACACAACCAATAAAATGCCTTTAACGGTCGAGCTGAACCTTAGGTGCTAATTATAATTCCGTGAGAATTTAATACAAAACTGGCATCAAAACTCTCCTATGCTTCCATATTGGTTAGTAAAGTTAGAAATTGCGCACCTGTAGCTTTAGCAATTTTTTTCAGAGTTACATCTCGCTAAAAACCCCTCTTTCTTCATTATTATAAATATATGATTCATACATTTCCTTTATCCTATTTCTAGTTTGGTATTTCGTCTTAGTCAGATATTTTGTCTCCATTATATCTATATTTCGTAACCGTCCCTTTTATAGAAGGGCCTATCTTAGTTTATAAACATTCAAACAACAGATGGCTCACGCTCGCATACCCTTATGCGTCACGTAGATAAAGAATATCTATTTTATAATCTTTCTTTCCTTCGAGGGCCTTTTTCTAGAAAATGTTAAACAATAGCATATATGCCTAATAATTAAGTAATAATATATGGTAAAAATTAAGACCTTTCCGAATGCGAGGATGAATATCTTTTATTTTTCCTTTTCTTTCTTTTGTCTCTTATTTTTAATGAAACTAAAATCCAAGGGTCATAATATATAAAGTTATAAAATATTTTAACCCAATTTAAAATATATAACATTAATATAATTTAGAACATGTCGTTACATTTCGCCTCGCATAAGGATATTAGTTAAGGAAAATCGAACTTTTATAAATTATTAAAACTCTCGTCTACTAAGATAAGACTAGACTCGTAGTGTCGGGAGTAGGGCTTACGCGGAGCGCTGCTCCCTTATCGTAAGAAAACAAGCGCGAGCATAGGTTCCACCAAATTCTAAAGAATCTTGATTGGTCCTGGACGGACACT